ATAGTTTTTCAGCGCTATTTTCATTTATTTTTGTTATTTGACGCTATTTAGACGAATAAGCAAGTTTTCCGAAGCATAAAATTGAAGATTTCCCGCCAAAATAGAAACTTCCTGATAACATCGGAAATGACGTTCTAACATCATTTTATTTTATTTGATTCTTCAAAAAATTGTTATAATACTGTGTATTAGACTTAGAATATTTGATATCTAAACCAGAAAGTGTTAGCTAGAAATAGACTTATTTATAGAACACCCCCCATTTCTCACTTCAGGGAGTTATAAAACAGTTGGGTGCTAATGACTTTGTGAAAGGGAAAAGTTCTACACTTGAAACTTTGAAAGAAGGGATTTGGCCTGTACCGTCCGCGGACCGCATAAACATTGATAAGGGGCCGTATGTGGCCCGCGGGCCGCAGGTTGTGCACCCCTGATAATATACATCATGATAGAATTATTGTCGTTAGCGAGCAGTTTTTCCTTTGTTGCTTCATATAGTCAATAATAATAATAAGTCGTTTCTAATTACAATAAAAATCTATAGTATATTATGATCTATCATGTGATGTCTCTAAAGTTCAGCGAATTATTTGCAAAAAGAATAAGTTATCAGGAACATACTGGAGATGAGTAGTCACATGACCGAAATAGCACTGACAAATGTAATGTGACACGCTTTGTACGCGTCCACTGTCCGATGTGACGCTCTGCGACGAAAACAAGCTTAAGCAATGGCATCTTCGAATGGGTACACTCGATAAGTATTCCAACAATTTTTTGTTTATAGCATATTTTATATCGATCATTTCCAACAAATTATACGTGTTTTGGAAATATTCGAGCGAAATTAGTCTAGATTTGATTAATTTTATGGAAGAAAACCTCTCAAATAGCCATACCCCCTAATCAACACAACTGCCTTAAAATTTTTATTTCTTAAGAGACAAATTGACATTACAATCTGTAAAAATGTTACAAAACAAAAATCATAACTTCATCAAAATCACATGCTTCATTTGAACATGTGCTTTCCTTGCCACGTGATCTATAATTAAGTACTCTGCATTTTCGAACATTTTACAATTTCATTGGTTAAAATTCTATACCATGTTGCACAAGCGCAGATAACCTGAACATGTATAATCAACCTAGTAGAATCATATCATCATCAACAAAGACAAGATCTTTAAAAGTGACTAGAATTGTCACTGTCTCTGAGAGACTAATTTTCTCGTTTTGACGTCATTTGTCCTAGAAAGAAGAGATGAGAGATAACTGACCAGAATACAGCCCCTGGACAATCAGGAACCTTTTTATGCCAATTCTTAGCAGTCGAATCCACTCTACATCAATTACAGTTATGAGTTTCTCCAAATTCTAATTTCCAAATCATGTTTTCACATGGGAATGGATTAAAACTTATATTGGGCTCCTGTGTGATTTTGGAATTTCAATATGTAATTTAATCTAAAAGCTTTGCTTTTCCTATTGCTATTCATCTTTACTGCTGATAATACACAAGAATGATTCAAACCCAGATAGAACAGTTTTATTTTTAACACCAGAGGGCAAGTATCCGGTGAAAAATGTGAATACTTCCTAGCTTAAAGGACAAGGACATTTTAAATGAAACAAAGAGAATCTAGCATTCACATGAAGATTGAGACTTTCAAAATATTTCACATGCATGTAAGATGACCTGGCAGAAGTTTTAATTTTAGATAATTTGTACTTATATATTCATATTCAGTTTCATTACGTAACAGTACTACTAACAGATAATCAAATACATAATTATACCAAGGAATTAACTGCTTAAAATAAGATCCACAATTTTATAATCTTTCTCTTTGTACGTTTATATTATTTAAAATGTATGATCAACAGTAAGTAATCTGAATAATGGATTCACATCATCCAAAGCTACTACAAATCTAAACACAAAATTCATATAGACAAGACTAAAACCAATATATTTTTACATTAAGAAATGTTTTTCTATTTATTTGTTCCTCAACATAAAGACAAATGAAAAATATTTTCAACTACATTGTCGAATTTCAATCTAAATCGCAGATGGTGCACACACCGGCTTAAAGCTTTACTTAATAATATAATTATAAAAAAAATATCATCTTATATAAACAAAAGATACAAATCGATGCCGTAATTATATTTTTAAAAATACATTTTACCATTATATTTACAGATTAAATCCGATTTACAAAACTTACCATGATGTCTTTATGTTGCTTTCTCAACGAGCACCACCAAGCAACAATTTACACGAAAAGTGTTGCCGGTTGGGCAACATCATTAATTCGAGAATATTCGTTAATTTCAAAACATAATTATTATAAACGTAACATAACTATTTATTTATAAGAATATACATAATTAAATAAATAAAGTCAGTTTTTAAAGAATATATAATAATATATACAGTATTTAACTATTTCCGCCTTTTTTAAAAAAAAAAAAAAGAAAAGAAAAAAAAGGGAGTCAAGGCTTAGTAGAGAACGTGGAGATGGCTTTTCATCCGGCTTGGATTAAAAGGTTGTCGTCATGTGTGACTGTTGTGATGGATGCATCGAAAACGTCGAAAACCGATATAGATTTGTAATGTTGCCGACAGGATACAAAAATATCAAGAGAGTCGAGCGGTCGCGAAGGGTCGTATGTGGGTGATCGGCACTGAGACAGACTCTACGGTTACAAGAAACCGTTTATTTGACACGAAAGAAGCTTACAAGATTTCCGCGATCTTGGAGGTTCTGCGTTGGTTGCGGCCTCTGGGTCTTCCTCTCCTTTCCAAGATAGTCCCATTTTGAAGGAGTGTCTCTGGTTCGCGAATGACCAATTCCATCGACGTCTCGACGACTCCGGGACGATGCGGTCGACTTCGTTGATGGAAAGATGTCGATCATAGGTCGGGAGATGGAGATGAAGATGGGCACGAGACACACTACAATAGATCCGCCACTTGGAACTTTCGGGAGAAGCCGTCGCGTCCTTGAATTCTTAGGTTTTATCTGTTTCCCTCTGATTTCACTTTCCGATTAGTCTCTCCTCGTCACCTGGTGACAATTCGATACCTTTCAGGGGCGCGGGAGAGGTCAAAATCGAAGTTTAATTTGATTCCCATCCGGAGATAGTCGATCTTCGTTTTTCCGTTGTTCTATTGTTTAAAAGTTCGCGTCGTTTTCATTAAGAAAAACTATTTCTAACTTCTATTTTTTCTCAAAAAAACAAAAAAAAAGATAATTCTGTCCTTAAAAATAAATGATTTTAACGTGAATTTCAGTGAGGTTCGGACCTGTCCAGAGCCTCACAGATTAGTGATTCCACGGTGGGCTTTCTTTTAACTCTTCATTCTGTGAGCACTAAGAGAACCTTTTTTAGCATGCTCATTATGGATTGGGCCAGGCCCACAACCCACATTGGAACGGCCGGATGGTGAGGGACGGGGCCCGACATATCTGCGGTGGGGTTACCCCACTGTTACAAAAGGAGAATTCTATTTATACAGAAGAGGCGTTGACTTTGCTTCGGACATATGAGGTTTTGTTTTCCTTCGCACGTTTGGACAGACTAGTGACATGTTTCTCGGACAGTTTGTCCGTTCTGAAGAAATTCTTGAGGGTTATAGTGCATTTAGCAGGAAGCGTCGGATCTCCAGGCTGGGTGAGACAATAAGCATTCTACTTGAAGTGATGTGAAAACCGTGGTACTGCGAGATGTGATTAAAAGAATGAACGGATCGGACCCCACCCATAAATTCTCAAATAGCTTGATCTGGCATAAAATTATACGGTGGAACGAAGCCAGTTTAGAAGCTGTACCCTTTCAACAGTGGAAAAGACACGTTTATTCTCCTTTAGTAGTGGAGAATAAACGTGCGAAATGTTTAGAATATTTTTCCACGCGTTTTTTCTCATTATTGTTTCGGAAAAAGATTTTGTAAGCAGTTATGTCTAGTGAAGAAAAGTCTTTTTTTATTGTTACATAATTCATTTTTATGTGAATTTTTTTTCGCGGTAGATTTTGGCTAGTTTTCGGAGATACCCCAAAAGAATTTGACGTATATATACGTCCCTCAATACTGCCACACGATCGCCCTTGACGAATATATTCGTCGCTCACTGCTGAGGGGGTGAGTGGTACGGAATAGAATGGCGAAAAAACTCCATTTTATTCATGTCATATTTGACTATCCGTGGCGCATAGGAGGGATCAGTTGACATCTTATTAGTGTGACTTTAAATGGGACTGCTCCACTAACAGAATTCTCGGTTTTTCGTCTGGCGAAATCACCAGTATATCCGGTTTGTTGAAGTGTGGCTTATTAGAGAGGTTGAGGCGCACGTATTCAGCCCAAAACGTGTACAGCGGACGAAGGAGCGGCGCCATCTGGCAATTCTAGGCGGTCGATAACAAGGACTATATACTACAAAGATAGCAAGATCCCTATTCTACAATGTTAGCCAGGAATGCCAAGTTAGTGACGTCAGCACGAGTCCTAACCTCTCTGTTTACATAGAGCAGAGTGTGCACGTGTTTAGTTTTCGCTTTTAATATTCGTCCAATTTTGTGATTAACGAAGTGATTTATTTTAATATTTCTGTAATTGTTTTATTTGACTAAGTTTTTTATAAGGTAAGATGATTTAAATATAAGTCATTAAATATTTAAAGCTATATTTTTATGTTAGGTGAAGAACAAAATGCTGAGTACTAGGTGTGCTGTGTATGGTTGCAATAATAACCTTCTTTTTTCAAATTGGAAGCAACCTGTTTACATCGGGTTTGATCAAAAAATGACAAGAGAAATACTTTTAAAATTAATAGCAGAACTTTATTTACTATCGTATAATGTAGTAGCTTGCGTCAGTGACTGTAGTTGCAGTAACATAAGTTTATGGAAAGAATTGAATGTGAATATCAATGAAACGTTTATTATGAATCAATTATTATTATCAATGAAACGTATATTAGAGATATAAATATGTGGTTGGACATTTTTAATAGCTATGCATCAAAAGGTTCTGTTCCAAGCAAAAATGGACATGGTGTAGACGTGGAATTACAAGAAGAACATTTAAATAAAATGATAAAAATAATCTCAAGAATGAGAGCAAGTGAAAAAAATGCCCTCCAAATTTTCCAGAAAGGAATGATAATCTCAATGAAATCGCTAATTGATCTTTTTTAAGATATGAAATCGACTTTTGATATAAAATACATCTGCACTCACAATTTAAATCAAGATTGTCTGGAAAACTTTTTTTTT